CCTCGAAGCTTCTCTTACATAATAATAATTTAAATACTTATGTTTCGACATTGAAAATGACCGTTATTATCTGAATATATGTAAAGATACTTTGCAATGTGCTGTTATCTTAGAGTGCTGATAACCATTTTAAAGAATTATCAGCTTTACAAATGTATATTAACAATACGATAGCATATATAAAATGACACTAATATTTACATAAACAATTCAAGGACTATAGATTATATGTTGCAATACATTTGAAATCAGTGATATAATCCGATTGCTAAAAAACGGCAAACTCCTGGTGACTCTCCAATTATGTGATTTATCTTGTTATGATCAATTTAAAACAAATCCATTACGTCCAACTGACAAATTGCCTAAGCTTGCGAAAAGGCATTTTTGTTAGTTGCTTAAAAAAGACCAAATATGCAACTTCCACCTTTCGCTGCCATGGTCACCTGCCTGGCTGCCAACAAATGCACTAATTAAGCCTTAATTAACGCAATTGTTTATATATATGTATACCACAAATAAAAATAAAAACGAACCACAACATTTCTTGCTGCATGGAGAACCGTCGATGCGCTTCGCGTTGTACAAAACGGGGAAGTTTAATAACATTTTGAATAATGAATACTCACAACAACAACAACAACTGCAGCAGCAGCCGCAGCAAAAAGTAGCAAAACGAAATGCAATAAATGCACAACAAAAATCCGCATGAAAAGCGGAAATGCTGTGTATGAAGCCGCATTTTGTTTTCCTTAAACTGCGCTTTGCGTTTGTGCCTTGCAACAATTTTCTGCCTCTGCCTAAAAATCATTTTTTTTTTACATACACTTTCGTGTATTCAATGTATGTATGTATGTATGTGCGCACACTCGCCGCCACATTGGTCTATGCCAATAAATATAATCTTATCATTGTAACGGCGCCTGCCCGCCAGCTGATTGACCAGATTCTCTATTGCGCACGCGCTCTTTCTTTTACTCTCGCACTCTTTCTCTTTCTCAACACCAGCTGCCCAAGTCGCGCTTTGAGGCGACTGCGTTTATATGCGCTGCGCCGTCACAGTCGAAGCGTCAGTTTTGCTTAGAGCTTTGAACGATCAGGAGGTGTTTCGTGATAGAGGCCAAATATAAAATCTGTTATACACGTGTATATAACAAAAGTAATAGTCGAGTGCAATATGTTAAAGTTAAAAAATATGCTTCTGATTCTGTTGGGCTGCAATCTGTTGCTAGCCATCCACGCAACTGGAAATAATAATAAACAGCAACAACAGAACCAAGGTAGGCCACGGACATGCTCATGACCGCTGATTCATGCAAGGTGTGGAGAAATTTCAATGGCAAGTTAGGGCGATTCTAGGCAGACCAAAACAAAAGAAACCGGTTTAACAATATGCGTGTACCCGGCGTAGAAGGCCAGAAAGAGTAAACAGAGATGTGCCTAAAGTTGCTTGAACTCAGAGATGAGCATTTACCGTTAAAAAAGGTCGCTTTTTCAAAAAATGAATAATATTTTAAATTGTAAAGTTGTAGTGATTTAGATTACATTAGTTTCAATAATATTAACTGGAATTTGTTATACTCGTTTGTATTGTAAATTGAACAAAAAAAAAGAATATTTGTTTTTTAAGCTTCACACCTTGTGCTAATTTAATAATTTGTTTTATCCTTGTTAGTCAAATCCTACGACTTAAAGTATTTCACAAACTTTTGCAGAAACCTGGGAGCAAGACCTGTCGGACACTTTTAAGATCGAGGGCAGCGATCAGGGTATACAAAAGGTTAATCTGAAGTGCGGTGCCAATTCGATGAACGTCATGTTGGAGACTGAGAAACCATTTACTGGTGTTATGTACACACGTGGTAGCTTCTACAAGCAAACGGCCCCGTGTTTCATGAAGCCCACCTCGAACCAGGGTACACGCACATTGGAGATGAACTTTCAGCTAGACCAGTGCCAGACTCTCAAGGATGGTGAGCTTTATACGAACATTGTGGTTATACAAAACGATCCGGAGCTCATAACCCCTGGCGACTCGGCTTTCTCGCTGGAATGTGATTTCCGTCAACCACGCAGTCTGGATGTTGAAGCGAGCATGCAGGCTAGGGACAGGTAAGCTAAAGTGAAATAATAATATCAATAAAAATACTATTTAATGCTAGTACAAAAAATGAGTAAACATATATACATGGATGTATACGATCTAAACTTAGAAATCCACAAAAATTGCGCGGAGCACGCGGTGGAACCCGCCAACGTCAATAGAACTTTACCCTATGACTACCCATTAAGTTCTTCAACTATATTCACTTTGAATAGCTGTACTTAAGGTACAAATTCAAACTTGAAATTTTTGCCTTTGCACGTTATCTAAAAAAATAACCCTCTTAGTATATGTGGCCTAACTAACTCACAAACACAGAACACAACATAACCACATTAGATACATGCATACATTCCACAGAGTTGCGACCAAATCCAAAATAACACTCACTAGTCCTGATCCCGCGGCACCAATGGACAATCTACACAATTCGGTGTTTAGCAACAGTGATACAGTAGAATACATACCAAAGTTTTCCAAACCAAATGAAACCATACGCCTGGGCACGGTTGAGGAAGTGACTCTACCGCTGACTCATCAAAGAGATGAGCTTTAAATATAGCAAACACTACCACCACAAACAATACAAAAACATGTCACAAATAAATAATTAAAACTACAGGTGAGACACCAACACACGCTTTTTGTTCTTTTAATTGTTAATATTGTTACGATGCTGCTGCAATTTTACATTATTTCAGTAACTTGATTAATTGATCAATAAATTTTCACAGGAAAAACGTTCAGAATTCCACACTGGCGGCCTAAATGCAACCGGACATTATTATTCATTTAAATGCTCTTTTTAAAATCTTTATCCTGTGATATTTTTTAAGTTTGGGTTTAATAAAAAAACAAAAGTCAAAAAAAAATGTATGGTCTTGAATCTGGCGCGCTCAAAGTAGAGTTGTTTTTTTAGAACACAAAACAGCTGTTATTTCTTTCGCAAAATCTGGCATCGCCATCGTGATTCTGTTGGTCTGGCAGGCCTTGGCAAATAAAAATGTACAATTAAATTTGCAGTTTTTGTCAGAAAAGAAAATTGTTAAGGCTTCAAGAAGCGCTATAATTCAGCTAGGTGCATTTCCAGACGATAAAAATCAAGTGTTAGCTGGTTTCAGGCATATGCACAGCCCACACATATACAAATAATAGCAACTCAGACTAATTGCTCATCATCTGTTGTGGTTTTCGTTATCGTTGCACATCTTGAGTTGCACAAAGAACGTCAATAATCTGTAATTTAATTAAAAGTCAGCAATTGCAACGCATTTAATGTTCTAAAATGGATTATCGTGTTTTTCTAACACTGTTGTTCGTATTGAGCGGCACGATAAATGTTTTATTAATCAAGTAAGTGAACTGAAAGTAAAAACTGCGCATATTTCTAAAATTAATTTTTGGAAAATAAATTGCAGATGGACGAGCATTCAATTAGTGGAGGGCAGCGATGAAAAGTTGCATCGTTTTCAGCATCCTGTGTTCTTAACACTGCTCATGTTCGTGGGCGAATTTCTTTGCTTTGGAGTGTACAAGGTGGTTTATGCGCTAATGAGTCGACGCGGGGTAAGTAGAAAGCCAAATAGAATATACATTAATTTAAAAATGGTTTCGATTTATGTCTCAACCAGCTTAGCACAGATCAAAACCTCGTTTTGACCAGCGGCAGCAATGAGTTTCATCCGTTCAGCATGTTGTTGCCGTCATTTCTGCGTACAATTGCATCAATTTTGCTGTTTACTGGCTTGTACTTGACTTATGCTACAAGCTTTCAAATGATAAGGGGTGCGTTTATCAACAATCGTATTTGCTGGCTCTCAGCACTTCAGTATCTTGTCTCTTGCAGGCGTTGCACTGATCTTTGTGGGCCTGTTCAGCACCATGTACTTGAACCAAACGTTGACAACACGCCACTGGCTAGCCATTTTCACAATGACCTGCGGCATCGTGGACATATTGGCCTTGGATGTGCAGCGGGTGGAATACGATAATCAAACGGTACCGCATACGGATCACAACACTATTTTGACAGGCGACTTATTGGTAATAATTGCTGAGGTGCTGCAGGCCTTTCAGTATGTGTACGAGGAGAAGCACTTGAAGGCCTCCGATATGGTGCCCATCCAAGCTGCTGGCTGGCAGGGACTTTTTGGAATAATTATCACAATCTTGTCAGCGATTTGCCTAAACTTTGTTCCTAGTGTTGTGCCCTTCAATGATAGCTCGCGTGGTGTCTTTGATGATCTAGGTGACCTTATTCCGCAGCTACGTGGCAACACAATGTTAATCCTTGCACTTATCGGCTTTTCATGCTCCTGTGCCATTTACAACTGTGTGGGACTCTCGATCGCAAAGTTCTCATCTAGTGCTAATCGTCTGCTCGCTGATGGAATACGAGTCTACCTCATTTGGGCGTTTGTCATCTTTGCCGAGTGGGAAATTATGAATCTAATTACAATTATGGGTCTTCTCATACTACAAATGGGTATCGTCATGTACCGGCAGGCCATCTTTCTTGAATGGTATCGCGCCTTACTGGGTCGCTGGCAGCGCAGTCGTTATATGGACTTGAGCGCCAATGCTGGGCCCACGCCAAGCACCCAACCAGCGGATGTTATATAAAGTGTGGTAGTGACAAAGTTTTGAATTTATTGTGATAAGAGAAGCGGGCTGATATATAACTATCCAGTTTTGGGATGCATCATTTAAATTTACTTATCAACTGAAAATAATACGAATAAATACCTTCATGCGTTAATTAAACTTAAGTGTATTTTGTTTCTTAAATTTATGCAGAAATTATTTACAATTAATATTAACGCAACATACATATATACGCTAATTATCTTACCTTTATGATGTGTTCCTTTCTAAAGTAATTAATGGGCCTATAAAATAAGTTTTTGTCTCTGTACACTTTATACTTTTGACGTGATTTTGTTATTACGAAAATTTTAAATTTTAGAACTCTGGAAAGTGAAAAAACAATCCGGTATATAGAAGATATAGCCCTGATATAGTATTGTCAAACATCGATTTTTCAAACAAGACCCTAATTTTCAATTCGCCGTAAAAACGTACTAACCACAATAAATTTCCATTGCATTGAAATAAGAGATGAATGGCAAGCATTTCTCAGACAGACTTCTTTTGTTCAATGCCCAGAATACGTTCGCCTATACCCATAAAGTAGACCATCTGAGCTATTCCAAAAAGTGGAGCAATTACAATCATTCGACACAGCCCACCCTTGAAGAATGCCTTAGGTCCTTCGTACTTCAATGTTTTGCTAGGTGTAGGGTAATGTATTAGTGTTTTCTAATCAGAAAAGTTCGTATGATGCCTAAACCTACTTGATACAGTCGAAAATGCCATCAAATTCCTTTTCGCCATCCGCCTTTTTAATGGCTTGCAAGCGTGTCTTAATCACATCTAGGGGCGTGACCGCAAAAGCAGCTGACATTCCCGACACCAACCCAGAGATAAGGGACCACCAAAAGACGGCTTCGCCTGAGGGGCCCGGCTTTCGGGGTCCACTGTTATTCAAAAAGGCAAAGAATGGAAAGTAGATGACCGAGAAAGTAATGTCTCGCGCGCCAGTGGCCCGGACGCCCTTGTATAAGCCGAAGATGCCATTATCTTTTACAAGCTGCTTGGTAATAGACCAAGCAGTCACCTTTTTTAAATCATGCCCACCCACACGTCCGGCATCCTGCAACTGAATCTTTAAAAGCTCCATAGGCGTAGTCACAATAATTTGAAATGCACCAGCTAAACCTCCGGCCAGACATTGCATGAGCAGTGTTAGTTTTCCGTCCGGAGTAGCCAGGTGATAGCGAAAATAATCGTTAGCGGTCAGTTTGATTCCCTTCTCAGGGGTGATCAATAATATGTTTACGGCTGAGCCGCGGTACATGCCAAAGTAACCCTCCGCCGCGTAAATCTTGCGGAAGCAATCGAACCTGGTGAAAATTATAAATGATAAGCACAAGAGACCAATTTTCGATTGGCACTAATGCTTACATCACTTACATGCTAGTGTACATGCGTTCACCATTGGGACCGATTTGTTGATTTTGCAGTCGCGTCTTCACCAAATCCAACGGAAATACACATGTCACACCGATGATGCCCGCAATGCCGCCGTTAATGACTCTGGGCAGGACGCTGTTGGAAATTTGGTTACCCATTCGATGTAGTCTATCTGAATCTGACCAAAAGCTTACGCAAAGCTCATATTCTTCTTTTCAGTTGCCATTAAATCACACGAAATTTTTAACTTCTAAATTTACAAAAAAAAATTACCCTTTACATTAAAATAAGAACTTAAAGCTATAGCCCAAATTTTTACCAAGACTTAAAACATTATGGGTAGAGCCTATATGTCCAGAGATACTATGCCTACTATTTTTCGTAGTAGCTGTGCGCTTGAAGTCTATGAATGAAGAACTGAAAATTGAAATCAACGTTTTTCACTCATTTAAGTTTTGTGGAACCTTGAAGTCGATGTCGGATGGTAATAAAAAATCTGCATATTATACCCTTCTCCATATTTTCATAGTTGCAGGTGGAGTCGCTGAGAAAAGTATTTTCAAAATAGGGTGAATTTTTCCAAAAGTGTAAAACACCTCGAAGTTAACTTTTCATACAAGGACCATCACAAAACTACAGTCAAAATTTCTTCTTCCTAACTCTGACGGATTGGGCTATGGATTGATCAAAAAGACAATGACAATATAAATAGAGAAACTAAAGACAATTTTGAATATTTTCAAAAATAAATAAAGTAAAAGTAAAAAAGTCCCTTAAGATTCGGCTTGAAAAACGGGTGTATAAAATCAGATCGGCCCCAAGCCTACTTGTAAAGTTTTTATTTATCTAAATTCATTTAGGAAGAACTTCACCCTTTTCGAAAAATCATCCTCAATCTACCATAAAAAACGGTTTTAGTCAACATTTCTGGCACTGTCATAACCCACCAAAGATGTGAGATATGTAGATTGTGGAAACAGGCGCGGACAGGTTTGAGGAGCTTACCCGAATTTCGAATCTCTGGCTTTGTTTCGGGAAATTAACTGTCAAGCATATATTCACTTAAGGAACAGACTACTAATAGATAAATACAGCCAAAATTTTGACGGTATTTCGAGATTTTAAATTTTAAAAAATATTAGGTCACAACTATAATCTTCATGTATTACGTCGTCCCCCTATGCAAACAAGTATTACATAAAAAATTATTGTTAAATTATTTATTACATTATACAAATAAATTATGCACATTGTTGTAGTCGAAAAAATTATACAAATTTTAAATTATAACAAAATTAAGTTATGCAGACTACTTTTGTTCAATACCCAGAATACTTTCGCTCATACCCATAAAGTAGACCAATTGAGCTATTCCCAAAAGTGGAGCAACTACAATCATTCGACACAGTCTGCCCTTGAATAGTGCCTAAAGTCCTTTGTACTTTAATGTTTTGCAAGGATTTAAAATGCACCAGCTAAACCTCCAGCCAGACATTGCATAAGCAGTGTTAGTTTTTCATCCGGAGTACCCAGGTGATAACGAAAATAATGGTTAGCGGTCAGTTTGATTCCTTTCTCAGAGGTGATCGCCGCGTAAATTTTGCGGAAGCAATCGAACCTATTTAAAATTATAAATGATAAGCACAAGAGACCAATATTTGATTGGCACTAATGCTTACATCACTTACATGCTAGTGTACATGCGTTCACCATTGGGACCGATTTGTTGATTTTACAGTCTCGTCTTCATCAAATTCAACGGAAGGACATATGTCACACCATCGATGCCCGCAATACCCACGTAATTTCTCTGGGCGGGAGGCTGTTGCAAATTTGGATACCCATTTGATGTAGTCTATCTGAATCTGACGAAAAACTTACGCAAAACTTTAAATTGAAATTTGAAAACGTATAATAGTTGATGTAATAAAATGTCGGTACATTTCACTAACGTAATAATATTATGTCAGTTTTTGTAGAATATATGTATGCATGTCAATATGTAATATTGCTTTAATGTTTTTAACAGTTACATTATTCGTTGTCTAAAAGCAAAAAAACAAAAATGCAATTTACTAAAAAAATCATAACGGCAAAAGAACGGGCAAATTGTAAAAGCTAATTGTAATTGTATTATCTATAGAAACATTATTTGCAATTTTATAGATATGTTTGGCTAAAATAAACACTTACATAATATAGCATTGATTTGAATTATCTTATTGTCATTGGGGTAGAAGTTCTTTTGCCTGTAATAGTTTCTATTATTACCTTTATAGATACACATACATGTGCACATATATATATAAACATTAATATATATATATATATATATATATATATATATATATATATATATATATATATATATATATATATATATATATATGTGTGTTTATATATACACCTACAAGGGATAAATAATTGCATATTCTAATAGCGCACTTTCACTTTTTACATCGAAATTAGACAGCTTTAACAATAACAACAATAGCGTTAGCGCATACATGTACATCTAACATTTAGAGAGGAAATGCTTCTGGATAACTTTCGTATGCCATTTACTTCTTTTGTACGCCCAGCAAGCCTTCGGCTACGCCCAAATAGTAGACGGTTTGTGCAATACCAAACAGTGGAGCAATCACTATCATACGGCAAAGGCCTCCCTTGAAAAAAGCGGTAGGTCCTTCGTGCTTCAGCGTTTTGCTGGTGGTTGAAAAAAAAATAACAAAATAACAGACACACAAAAAAACGTACTTATAGAGGAGCTTACCTAATGCAATCAGAAATTCCCTTAAACTCTTTTTCGCCATCGGCCTTTTTAAGAGCCTGCAAGCGGGTTTTGACTACGTCAAATGGATTGACCGCCAGGGCTGCCGTTGAACCAGCTGCCAAGCCGGCCAAGAAGGAGCACCTTATGTATACAAATAAATCAATTAAATCAGGCAAAAGAAAATCGGTTGACCATGCCTACCAAAATACCGCTTCACCAGAGCCATCGTTCCGCCTAGGACCCAAATCATTAAGTGTGGCAAAAAGTGGAAAGTAAATGACTGAAAATGTGACATCACGTAGGCCCGTAGCACCAATGCCCTTATACAGGCCAACGATGCCCTTCTCTTTGATTAGTTGCGTTGCCAATTGTGTGGCTGAAACTTTTTCAACGGTTTTGCCAGCCAATTTTGCGGCAGCGGCAACACGTCCGGCATCCTGCATTTGAATTTTCAGCAGCTCCATGGGCGTGGTCACTATAATTTGGAAAGCACCAGCCAAACCGCCAGCCAACATTTGGCAGCTCATTGGCAGTTTACCATCCTTGGTGGTAAGTTTATGTCGGAAGTAATCATTCGCCGTCAGTTTGATCGCCTTCTCAGGTGTAATTAACAAAATATTCACGGCTGAGCCGCGGTACATTCCAAAATAACCCTCTGCAGAGTACGTTTTGCGAAAGCAGTCGAACCTGGAATTGAATGTAAACCATAATTAGCATGGATTCCATAGGAATGATCGACATAGGTTCGCACTTACATGCTAGTGTACATACGTTCGCCATTTGGACCGATTTGCTGGTTCTGCAGCCGAGTCTTTACCAAGTCCAATGGAAATACACACGTGACGCCAATAATGCCAGCAATGCC